ATATATATAATATCAATATATTACTATATATATAATAATAATACTATATATAGTAATATATTGATATTATATATAATATATTATATATATATAATAATAATACTATATATATAATAATGTACTATATATACCACAAACGACAAACCTCAAACGACATGCGACATGCGAATATCAATTATAGTATATATTTATATAATATATCCATTATAGTATATCTAAATTACTTGTTTCTCGTCGCGAACTTTATATTCAATATTGAAATTTGCATATCTTCTGTACTTCTATATTTCCATCCATTTTAAGGTATCGCAGTAAAAATAACAGATGCACTATATTATATGATATATATATATATATCTATATCTGTATCTATATATATAATATCAATATATTACTATATATATAATAATAATACTATATATATAATAATATACTATATATACCGCAAACGACATGCGACTTGCGACATGCGACATATGATACATAATATATAATATATAAGTATCTAATTAGTATACTAAGTTAATTGTTTCTCGTCGTGATTTTTCCGAATGTGCGATTCATTCGTTCGTTCAATTCCAGGCCACGATAACTAGGTAGATATTTTAAGACGTGGCATTTCTTAATCTACACAGAGAGGAAGTTGAATGGACAACGAAGAGCACAATCAGTCCTGTGATCTGTGTAACGAAGCACGAGGATCACGTTAATAATACGTAACTTTATAATGGAAAGTTCTCCGGAAATATATGAAATATATCCGGCGTCTATGGGAAAATTTTTATTCCGATTGGCCCTCGAACGTAAAAAGGGTTAACTGCGGAGCGTAACATGTCGGCTACCAAAGCATGAAATTCATTATTCGGTCATCGAATATTCAATATCTACGTCAAACCTAAGTTTTAATACATCTCAAGGCATTGTCAGCAGAAAATCGTACTTTTGTACAAGATAGATGATTAAACTGTTGTATGTAAAAAACGATCGAAATTCCGAGTGCACAGTGATCGTTCAACTTTTCCAAATCGAATTAATTAATTAATTCGTCACTGTCGTTTCCGGCTGAAGTGTTAACAACAGATTAGATTATCCGTGTTTCACCGACGAAACAAACAGAACTGAACGATCTACACTATTATTACACTGCGACCGGCATCGACAATAATTGTTCGCGGACAATCTCTGGCGGCGTTAAATTTTCTCACTATAGTTGTTGAAATTCCCTTTTGTAACGATCACGATCGCTCCTCTGATCCTCGAGATTAAATATCGTTAAGCTTATATTGTGTGTTCATCTGATAATGCCCAAGGTTGGGAAGATGTTTAACTCGGTGCATTGAAATTCACGTGATTTAAACGATTTTTAATATTTAATTGAGACGGTGTGCAACTAGCGTTCATTCGCTGAACCAAGGATTTTGTATAGATTTCGTTGCGTTTAAATATTTACGATTCATTCATTTTTAACTTGCTAATGACAAATCTCTAAACTTAGTTCCCTCGATAGTAATGGAACACGTGTGTATTTTCAAAGATTTACTGATCGGCGATCAGGTCATTTGTACGTACAGCATGTAAGTTGCTCAGATAATTCTTTAAAACTTCCGAGTTTGAAACTTGAAACTTTTTCGAAACTTGAAAACTTCACGAAAATTGAAATTCAGGAATTCAAGGCACAGAGAGGTCAGAGATTCGAAGTGCAAGAGGAAGAAAATTGTAAAATTCAGAATAATAATTGATCCGCAGTCGTGTACAGATTATCTATCAACATTAAAAAGAATTGACGTTGAAAAAAAATAGCAGCAAGTAATCACAAACGAGTAAAAGATGTGATTCTCACAATTTTGCACAAGCGAAGGAATAAATCGTTAATCGGGAAATCGGAAATTTTGCAGGGGCCTCGTAACGTGTATGATTGATAACTCGTTACGCCAGGGACACGCATTCGTCGCTCTTGATTGCGTCACGTTAATAGTAATAGTAATAATTATACGTTAATAGTAATAATTATAATTAGTAATAGTAATTAACGTTAATAGTAATAATTATACAAAGATAACTTCCACAAAGGTCGCGAACTCTCGTGTGTTGAACTTTAACAGTGGGCCAGTGAACGATATTCACGCATACGGCGTGATGATTCTCTGCGTGCTATCGTGAAGAAATGAATTAAAATGAAAGAGAGGAAGAATTTGTCATTTAGAGAATTTCTAAACGAGGAATTTTCTGTGTAGAAGAATTTTCTTCTATAGAGGAAACTCTTTAATATATTTCGGGAGGAAAATAGATCGAATGTTTGTATAATGATTAATTTTGTATTGTAATTTGAACGTCTGTAGAAATTTTAATAATTCCTTATAAATTTGCAAAATGTTGTTATCCAAGATTCTTGGAGTAATGAAATAATAATCATAATGATTTATCGTATAATCATAATGAAAATATAATCATAATGAAAATAGATCGAATGTTTGTATAATGATTAATTTTGTATTGTAATTTTAACGTCTGTGGAAATTTTGATAATTCCTTATAAATTTGCAAAATGTTGTTATCCAAGATTCTTGGAGTAATGAAATAATAATCATAATGATTTTAAAATGGAACAAATGAGTCTACTAGAGAATATTAAAAAGAATCGTGTCATCAATAATCCACGTGTTGACAAAGGTATCAATGAGAAATAATCCTCATTCTTATTCGTATTTAATTGAATCGGCTGGGGAACAAACGTTGGAAAAATACCGACAGAATCTAAGTTTTGTTTCTGGTTCTTTTGAACGTCTTTTATTACAAAACGACGAACGTTTTTACACTGCGGTGAAAAAATAATCGCTAATTCTAATTGACATACAAATTTACACTTGCATATGTACAAAATTTCATAGCTAGTTAGACCAAGCGATTAATATCAATAATACTTTTCTCGTATAATAATATAATTGTACTATTCTATATTGAAGCTCTTGTACGAAAAATTTCAGGAACATCGATAGTAAAAAAAAAAGAAAAAAAGGAAGCACTAATTTGCGTCGTTGATTACTCTCAAGTTTCTAATTGTTATTTAAATATAAATTAAACAGTTTCATCGACCATTGTCAAAAATGAATGACGATAATTTGATTGCTGATTTTTATGCAAATTTTCATATTTTCATTAATACAATTGAAAGAGTAGGAGTTGAACAGAAATTTGTTTTATCTCTACAATATATATATATATATATATATATTTTATTATCGTATGCTACTTTGTACATCTATGCTTCTCGTAATTTCATAAAAATCCGCAATCTGATGATAATGAACGTTAATGCACGAAGTTTGACGTTACTCGATTTACGCTAATATTGCACGTTTTTTTTTTTTTTTTTTTTTGGAAGACTAAGGATTCTTTACTAGAGATCAAGGTAACAGACACTTCGTTGTGAATATTTCACTACAATCTCTCCACCTCTATAACGGAATTTCCGCTCTTCCTCGACTTTATACTCGATCGTCGTAGCATAGTGCTCCTTAAAGTTTCACCACGAAGCGACGCTCTCATCGAGTTCCTGGCGCTGCACGTGGAAAGTGATCGGAACCTAGGAGGTATCTCTTCCTCCTCCTCTTTCCTGCGAAAATATTAGAATTAAAAGTATCGAGTTCGTTATTATTTCGAATTTAATTCCTTGTTTGCTCGTTTAAAAAAAAAAAAAGATATATTTGGGAAAGAAAGTAATCCGAGGTTTCGTTTCACAGACTTGTAAAATTCGGAAGAAGAAAATAATCCATGGCTCCGTGAAATTTGTACTTAATACAAAAGACTGTGAAATCTTCAATTCTCTAATCTAGAAGATAGTTAAATTATTTTGTCTGAATTCCATTTTTTCGCCATGGAGATTCTAAAGACAAAGGGAAAGAGTGGAAAATTTATGATCAACGGGGAAGATTGAAACTTCGTTGATTTCGTTTCCCTTTCTTTAAAATTTAAAAGACACTTGGAAGGGGGAAAAGAGAAGCAATCCAATCCTACGTTCTTCCCTTTTTCAAAACTTCCTCAAGAACTGAGAAAGGAGAAAATATAATCCAACGTCGTATCAGGATCCAAGATCAGGAGAATCTCGAGAGTCTCGAAGTTTGCAACTTCACGACTATTTCTGAGAAAAAGAGAAAGAGAAAGAGATCTAAAGTTCCCCTGAAGGTGATTTTACCTTCCGATACAAGGGAAATCCCACATCTTCTGGTCTTTCCCGAAGTCCTCGCCATCCTGCAGCGTCTGCGGAAGAACTTTGTCCAGCGTTTCCGGTAAGAACAGAGTCAGAAGACCGCCCATAATTCCAAGCGTGCCCAACACGAGGAGAGGCAGAATCGACGATAGGACATCGAGATACACCACGAACGGCGCGAGGATACTAGCAAAATATCCCATTATGTGTATCAGTGCTACGCCCTGAGCTCTGACCACAGTTGGCAACACCTCGGCTGCGTATTGGAGGCCGATATTGTACGAAATGTTTATCCAAAATCGGCCAAGAATCGCCAGAGAGGCTGTGTAAATATCTGAAAAGAAACATTTCCAGTATTAATTTCTCGCACTTCGCGAAAGAATTTGTTTTGTTAGAAAGATCTTCAAAGAAGATACTTTGTTTGCAACTAAATTTGTCTAATTATCTACTAAGTTAAGGACAGCCATAACTGCTGTCGATTCTGCTCCTCTGCGTAAATGAATATGTTTGGTTGTATTTATTACACAATAAACCTGATGGCTTATGATGTGCGGTTCTTACTTGAATTAAACAACACAACTGATTGCTGTCTATGCGAGTGATGTACACTCACGATGATAGATTGACTCTTGAAATAAACTTTCTGAACTCTGCTTTCGATCGGGAAGGTAAGGCATTTTATGACTATTGACAAGATCAGTTTCATAAAGTAATTTATTTTTAATAGTGCTGGCGGTAGGACCAAGGGGAGAGGATTCGCATCCCCTACACAATGCAAGTTGGCACAGTTTTAATTTCTATAATTCAAGAGATTGCCATCTAGTTCTAATTTTGTATTATAAATGCCCAACGTGATATACGAGTGATAAACGAAATATACAAACGATTGGAGACAGCTGAAGCCCAGATGCTGAATATACCGGAGACAACGAGGGAACCGCACGCGAGCCATCTTCTGCCCCATCGATCAAGAACGAGCGTGAGGAACGTGTCAGCGGGCAACTCGGTTGCTGCAGCGATTGTAAATGTGACGAACACGTTCAGTCCTAGATTATCAACGTTCCGTACGTGACCGTCGAACACCAAAGAAATCGCCATCCTACGTTGGAAAAAAAGAAACAAACAAAAATTCGATACGATAAAATGAAGATATGACGATATCGTGTTTCACGCAGCAAGCGAATTCTTCGCTCGGAGCTACCGACATTGGATCAAACGGAATATTCTTGAGCAAGAGAACGTGATGAGTGAGAAATATCTGATGCAGATGCAATCTGAATTAACCTAAATCAATACGTACCAGATAATGATAAACAGAAGGGTAATATTCCGTAGCCGTGGTGTTCTAAACAGATCTAGCACAGAGTACGTTTTATCTGCTTCCTCCTCTTTGCATATTCTGACACAGGTTTCCTGGTGTTATCAAAGTTTAATCAGCTTTATTTTTATGAACAAAAAAATTATACATATCTACAATGTTGGCTCTTTCAAAAATGGATTATCTTCTCACGCCGTGTATTGATATTAATAATAGTTGCAAGAATAGCAAGTTTCTAATTTGGTATAGAAATAATGTAATGTCGAGATTTCGTTGTAAACTGGAAAAATTCAGAAGGAAATGTGGATTCCTTTACCCGGAATCGTTTGTAGATGTCATCAGGCACCTTGGTGCCGTTTATTCGCTCGAATTTGCCCAGGATCTGAATAGCCTTGTCTACTTGACCTTGGCTGACCAACCATCGAGCACTTTCCGGGATCAGCCACGGCGTCATTACGGTGAGAACAAGAGGAACCGAAGTGGCAATGCAGGTCATCCTCCAATCAGCCAAGAAGTAGGCAATCCAGGGTAAAATGCACGCTGCAAACGTGAAGAAGATTGCTATCGACATGTTCGCTACGAATGTCCTCCATTTTGGCCCAACGTACTCCAACACTGAAATAGAAAAGGGACGTGAAAGTTAGAAATAATACTCTACGAAGAGTGGAATAGAGTGAAGAAGAGAAATACAAGTTATAAATATATACAATAGGCTGAAATGATGAAAGAAATTTAGCAAATTAGCATTTGAACGTTCTAAGAATTCCCTGACAATCTTTATAAGTTAGTTAAATTTCTAGGGGCAAGAGTTGAGGATGCAAAAGGTAGAATTACGTAAAGGTTAGTTTAATTACAAAGAAACGGAGATTTCATTAGAATGAAAGAGTGTTTATAATACTTCTTAAGATTATTTGTAATACTCATTATACACAAGCACCTGTGTAAGATAGATGATTAACACAGTTACAAAAATTTTCTGCACAAGGCCAAAAGCAAGTGTCTTCTTAAATTATCTTCTCATTTGTCATCACACTCCTAGGAAAGAATTCGCGGTAGATAAAATTTAATTAGAGGTTGTATTGGTAAATTTCGCAATAACGACGTCTATCGTAATCGAGATATATATACCTGAAGACATTTGTATAAATCTTTGTGACTGAATCACACGTTCTTACGCACTTGTGGAAAATTAGAATGCGACTTTCGTACTGAAGGAGGCGATGTTACGTTACGAACAATAATTAAATCGACCTTCGAACGAATTTTGTAATTTCACGAACACGTGGGTGAGATTAGTGTCTCGTGATGCACGTCCAATTATTTAGAAACGCGGTTGTAATTCTTTAATCGTGCAGCAGGACAGGATGTGGCAAATACGTGGAAATTTAACAGCAGTGAACAACGTGTTTGTAGTTGCCGCAAAATAGGGAGTAATTATTCTTAATGAAGCAACCATGTTGGTCATTTAATGGTCGTTCGCTTCTAATCGAGGATCACCTTCAATTAATTGTAACTAATGGCTCCAACATAATCTCTCAGTTTTTCTCCTTATATGTGCTGCTAAACATAGAACTTTTATTTCAAATTCTTGTTTTATTTCTTGCTATCGTCTTGAT